CTATCTAAAAGACAATATTAAGAGCTGAAACATTCAGAGAATTGTTTTTTAACTTCCCGTATGGTAAGTTATAGTAATGGGCCGAAAATCGAAAATGAAAATTTTTGCATTTCTCGACGTTTTGAAGGTTTCTGAACATTTTGGCATACCTCAGAAAAATGGATGTGGTGTGTGTGTGTTTTGTATGTCCGCGTTTTTGTCGTCCACGTTTTCGGGCGCACGGATCAACCGATTTCATGGTTTAAAAAAAACATTCGATTCCTGTTGATAGGGAGATGTGCTGATTAGTTTTTGGCAAAGGTAGGCCCAGCGGTTTCGGAGATACAGAGCTAAATGTTAAAAAAATGGCAGTTTTTGAGAGAACTAAGCGTCCGATTTAAATGATTCAAAGAACTTCTGCTTGTTTCAACAAAATAATTGATTTTGGAAAAAAAAATTTTTTGTTTCCAATTTTTTTTCAAAAAAATTTTTTTGTAATTTTGGATTAAAAATTCAAAAAATCACCCAGGCTAAGCACAGTATAAGCGCCACTCTGGTACAAATGTTTACCCAAGTGCGTTTAGACTGTTTATGTATCGGAGCACTTTTCCAATTTTGTGAAAACTATTGAAAAATGTGAAAATGCCGCCAAGCTAAGCACAGTATAAGTGAAAATGTCGCACAGAATTATTTGCAAATGCGTTTAGACTGTGACTGTGTGTGTGCACTTTTTCAATTTTGTGCAAATTAGGCAAATATTTTTTTTTTGAAATTTGAAATGACGATTGTTAATGTTCTGGAGATGATAAATTTTTTTATTTATAATAACTTTGCGTAGGGTAAGTTATAGTAATCGCAAAAAAATCGAAAATGAAAATTTTTATATATCTTTACGTTTCAAAGGTTTCTGAATATGTTGGCATACCTTAGAGAAAATTGATATATGTGTGTGTGTGCGTGCATGTGTGTGTGTTCGGATACAAATTTTCGTCGACGATTTCGGGAACACGGATAAAGCAATTTGAATAATTCAAAAAACATTCGATTCGTATTGATAAGGAGACGTGCTGATTAGTTTTTGTCAAAGGCAGATCTAGCCGTTCCGAAGATATGGGGCAAAAAGGGCCAAAAACGGTAACTCAGTTTTTGAGAGAACGGAGCGTCCGATTTGTATAATTCAAAAAACATTTTACTTGTATTAACAAGATGAAGATTGATCAAATTTTCATGAAGATAGGTCTAGCGGTTTCGGAGATCTAGTAAAAAAAACTAAAAAAAATAACATTTGGCGGTCAACAATAATCATTAGACATTAGACATATGCATATCAAATTATCAAATATTTTATAGAGATTTTAACAATAAGTATAAGTTTTGTTAACAATCCTATGGGGTTCCGTACCAGTGTTTATCAGTGTGCGCTTCGATATTTAGTCTCTATGCACTTAAAGCAGTACGATTGCTTCGAAAAAAAGTTCAGAATTTCCAAAATCAAAATTTAAAATAAATTTTTCAACAAAAGTGAGTTTTTGTCAAAAATTTATAGTTTCTCAAAAATCTATTTTTTCAGAGTAAATTTTTTACAAAAATGTTAATTTTTTTAAAAACAAAAAAAATTTGGTACGGGAAGTTCCAGCAATTTGCCTTAAGGCACGATGCCATGCGCCCCACTAGTTATCAATTTGGAACCATTTGAGCCCTTGGGAGCAAGGAAATTCGAAAATGTCCATATTAAGGACCACCCTAATATATACTCGTATATATACATATACATAGACTACTCAATTCATCCATTTCAGTTTTATCTCCTCATAATAAGATCGCATTGATGTGTATAAATGTATCCATTTAAGTCTCGTTTTCCCTTTAACACTTTTGGTTCTTAAGGAAAAAAGCTGGTTGGTATTGATGTATAATTATTGACCCCTACCGTCAAAGGATCAGGGGTTCCAAAAAATAAACGTTTCGAACTTTATTTGGATGGACGAAAACAATTTTATCAATTTCCTAAGGTGCTGAATTTGCATCTATATAAACAAAGAGTCAGTACTTTGCGGCGCGAGTTAACGGCATGAAATCTTATGTTTCAACTCATATATATATATATATATATATATATATATATATATATATGGAAATTGTAATAAATACTTAATACCTAGGTGTAAGTGGCTTATTGCTTTAAGGCAAGCTGCATAAACGTTAAGTAATAAGACTTAATTAATAAGAAATAAGATTCAGATCTTTAAATAAAAAATGTAAGCTTTTTTTCGAAAATCAAGGGTTTTCTTTCGCTAATCAATGCGACTACAAATTCAAATATTGTTTATATATATATATATATATATATATATATATACCTATTTAATTCGAACCTGTCCTGGTGTTATTTAGTATTAAAAGCACCTTTAGGAACCTTCAGGCACCTTTAAGCACCTTTAAAGTTTTCGACTTCGTCACTTAATTAAATCTGTCAGGTTTAAATTTTATTGACTTGAGTTATTGCCAAATAAATTTATTGAATATATAAGTAATATATATATATATATATATATATATATATATATATATATATATATAATATATATATATATAGCTAATATAATAGACATAAAGCTTTTCTCTAAATTATTTCCTAAATAACCAAATTAAACAAGGATTGTCCCAACTTGAACCAGAATGTCCAAAGAATGACCCAATATAATATTTTTTCTTCAGAAAAGCTCCAGTTTTTGATGTTCAAAGTTTTAACAAAATCATCCACCTCAGACCACTTGAACAGCGGTTTCCAACCTGTGGGGCGCGTACATTTCTTTCCAGAATACTATTTGCGAAAATAACCTAACATTTTTTAAAATGACAATAAAAATAAACAAAAAAATAATTAGGTTTATTAACTTCCCGTAGGGTATTTTATAGTAATCGCATAAATATCTAGAATGAAAATGTTTATGTCTTTAAGTTTTAAAGGTTTCTGAACATTTGGCATACCTTAGAAAAAATGGATGAATGTGTGTGTGTGTGTGTGGTGTGTGTGTGCGGATACGAATTTTCATCGACGATTTCAGGAACATCGATCAACCGATTTGAATAATTCAAAAAACATTCGATTCCTATTGATAAGGTAACGTGCTGCTTAGTTTTTAGCATAGGAAGGTTTAGCCGTTCCGAAGTTACGGGGCAAAATGTGCCAAAAACGGTAACTCAGTTTTTAAGAGAACGGAGCGCGTACGATTTTAATAATTCAAAAAACATTTTACTTGTATTGACAAGATGCAGAACTGATTGAATTTTTATAAAGGCAGGTCTAGCGGTTTCGGAGATATAGTGAAAAAAGTAAAAAAAAAGTCATTTGGCGGTCCATCAAAAATGATCATAGACATATGCACATCAAATTATCAGATATTTTATAGAGATTTTAACAATAAGTATAAATTTTGTTTACATTCCTATGGGTTCCGTACAAATGCTTATCCGTTAGGCAGGTCCAGCGGTAATGGACTATCAATAAAAATGTAAAAAATGACATTTTTTCATGTTTATGGACATATGTACATCAAATTATCAGATATTTTATAGAGATTTTAATAATGTGTACACATTTTGTGTAAATTTTTTTTGGGTTCCGTACCACAATTTTTAATTACGGTACCGGAAGTTTCAGCAATTTGCATTAAGGCACGATGCCATGCACCCCACTAGTTGATATTTTATATAATATTGCATATTAATTTGTAGAGACTTATAATATCAGTGAGTATTTATAAAATTAAATTGTTGAAAAAATTAAGAGGATGCAGCATAATTATTTATTAAAGCAAAGGGGCATGGTGCAAAAAAGGTTGAAAACCACTGATACAATTAGTAATATTATATTTTAAATTTTGGCGCCGATTAATTTGAATTCACAACTTTGTTCTCGACACGTTCGCCATCTAACAACAATTGTAGGAAACTTTTCAACAATTGGTTCGAGGTTTTAGATATAAAAGGTTTATATACTACGAAACACGTGTTACAAATTTGTGACAGTTCTCCATTTTGATTTAATGTTACTAATAATGTTTTAGTTATTAACAATATGTGGTTTTAGACGTTTAAATAATAGTGTGTATGTTTATAAAATATTCTTTATATATTTATATTACATAATAGTAAGTTTAAATTCATTTATTGCAATTATTATTAAGTAATATAATATTTGTGTAACCTAACCTACAAATTTTTTGGACATTTATAATTAATATAATAATGATACTTGCTTGAATAATTTAATAATAAATACTTATTATATATATATTATATATATAATATATATATATATAATATTAATGTATGTTATATTTAAAGTATTGAAAAAGTTCAATTGTAACTTTTTGTATGGTTAGGTTAGGTTAGTCCATCTAACCTACAAATTCTTTGCACAATTTAGAATTACTTAATAATCTATCGTTATTATTTAATTAAATTCATATATAAATATGTATATATGTATATATATATATATATATATATATATATGAAATGTTTTGGGTTGGTAGCGTGGTTGGTATTAACCTTCTAGTCAACGCTGCCTTGCCGAGCAGTGATTATAAATGAAAGTAGGCCTCGGATGCCTTGAGCTCTTAATAGAGGTATAGTCTGAAATGTCTTGACACTTGCAAGAAACAACACTGATTTGACTACTTTTAAACTATACTTTATTAAATAACCACTTACAACACTATGATAACGATTAACTCCGCGACTCTGGTGTGACCAACAGCAACTCTGCTGTGGCCTACTCTGTACTATCTAATATCGGTACTTTATTTGCTGATAAAATGGGACTACAAACACTTTACAATGGCGTATTTAAAATATTCGCTGATGCTTATAATGACAGCAATCACTATTGAATTAAAGTTAATCAGCATTATTGATTGCTATATATATATATATATATATATATATATATATATATATATATTCATATTTATTTATTTATTACACTGTTGTCTATATTATTCTTATTTCTTTAGGTTTATCAAGATTCCCTCGATGCATTTCAGTTCCTGAAAGTATATCGATGGAAATGTTTAATACAAATTGATTACCAAAGATTGAGAAAAAAAAATTATAAATAAATAATGACTTCTGAACAATCTGATGAACTTGTTGAGGAAACAAGTTGTAGTTTAGTAATCTTTTAGTCGTTGACAGACGGTGAGTTTAGGTGCTTTTATTAATATATGTGTTATCCTAATTTTTTTTTACAATAATAATAGTAAGTTGTAGTCTGCCCAGCAAAGCACCTCAAATCAATGATTCCTCTTCCTTGTCATGCCATAGCACAATAGTTTGCACTAATATTAAAATAATTAACTCTCAACATAAGCTTCATTCTGCTCATCTATATGGTTCTTTGCAAAAATACCTAAGCTTTCTCTGCATTTCTGTGCAAGAAAATCCCCATTGTTTCTCCTATTTACATAAAAGGAAAGATTTGAATTAAAACACATCTCAAGGAAATGTAAATAGTCAGATTAGAATTAAAAATGTGTTAAATAATTCTGTCTAGCTTCCGGAAACATTCTTTTAAAATAGTCCAATCTGTCTTTACGGAGATGAAAACATCTTGCAAATTATAGTCTTCCAACAACCATCAAGAGTCTTGTAACCATCTTTTAAAAATTAATTAGTCATTTTATGACCGTTGATATGCATCTGAATCACTCATATAATTTTATGTTATGAGGATGCAAGTACTAATATACAAATTAAAGTATAAATTTTACAACATTCGGTGGCAATTATTGTGAAAACTTTTAATTTAATTATAAATAAATATGCAGTTAGTATTTGTATAAATAAATATGATTCAAAATACATTATTTAAATATAGTCTTCATAAGCCCATAAACTTTCATAAAATAAAATAATCTAAATTAATCAGGGCATTAAAATTCTATTTTTTACCATTGGATTTTAGTTTAATTATTTGCATTGAATGATGTTCTTATAATATTTTATAGTTTCTTGATTATATTTTATTATTATTCCTATTGCCATCTGCATTAAATAAATAAATAAGTTATCATTTTTTTTCTGAAATGTATAATTTTCTTTATTTTTCTAAGATATTTATATATATATATATATATATATGTATATATATATATATATATATATATATATATCATTCATTTGTAGTTTTTAATTTCAGATTCCTTTGATGCTTTAGCTATCGATGTATTTAGTTTCTAATCATTCCATCAAAAGTTGATAGAATTATTGTAAGGATGTCATACAAGCATAAACAAATAATGAGTACCGAGGATATTAAACAAGAAGGTAATTATATTAATAATATAATGATATAATATTAATTAATAATAATTAATTAATAATTAGTATTCTTTTGAAAGAAAATATCGAATATAAGAAATTGTTGTTTATAACTTTTCAATTTTAGTATTGGTTATCCTAGTAATTATATTGAAGTAAAATATACAAAAACTATAGTATTGTAAAACAATCCTAGTTGCACCAAGGATTTTCTTTTTCAATTTACAAAACTACTAAGTATGTTGTGCATGGAAGAAATTTTTAATATCAGATAGTATTAGAAAATTTTTAATATCTTTGTTCAAATACTTCTTGGTTTTAGTATTTGTTGTCAAAGTAGGTATATAACAGCATAAGATACTAAAATCACAACATTCTTGTGTGAATATTTCAATCGAAATAAAATATTTCAATTTAACATGAGATTATCATCCACATACACAAATAGACAATTTTTCTAATTTGCTGTTATAATTTTATTGCACGCCTAAAATTTTTGATATTTGTTAGTACACTTATTGATTATTGTAATAGACATATTACAGTATATTATATTGAATTTGCAATATTCTAGAATGCAAAGAAATATATTTAATAATATTTTAAAACCTTGCTCCTACAACTTTGAGTCTGCATATAAATAAGTGATGTGGCAGTACTTTTTTGTACAATTTTACATATCTCACATATTTATGATATTGATTTTAGTATTTGTTGTTATAATATACATATTGAATTATAACATACTCCAATTTCAACATTGATGAACAAACTTTGTGTACTGAAGGTAATATTTATTTAATCTTTTAATTTATAGTATAAGAAAATTGAGGTACTTTTTTAAGACAATTTTAAATATCGCTTGACTTCCTTGGAAATCTATCGAGTTTTAGTATTTGTTGTTAGACTAAATGTATTGAAGTGCAATATATCTATAGATAAATTAATTTATAAATTGCAGCATTTCACCACAAATTTTCACATTTCTATCATATACTTTTTGTCACTAACTTTGTAATCAAGTATAATTGTCACTAACTTTATAATCAAGCAAAATAATAATCTTTGTTTAGAAAATTGTTAATAACTAATAATTTTATTAGAGCACTTATCTATTTTAGTATTTGTTGTTATAATAGACATATTTAAGTATAACATATCCAAATCACAACATTTTACATCTACTTCTTGCATTTAAATAAAATACACTAACTTTATGCATAAGCATAAAACTAGTATTATGTTGTTTATTTAAAAAATAATATCTCAATTTTTTGAGAGAAAATTGATTGATCTTAGTATTTGTAGTTAAAGTAGACATATAAAATATTACATATCCTAATTCTACAAAATATTTTTACATTTGAATTGAATATTCTAATTTTATTTACAATTTCAATATATTATTTGTAGCAAAACTGATCTTTATCCAGAAACTTGTGAATATCTCAAATTTTTGTTAGAACACTTATCAATTTTAGTATTTGTTGTTATAATAGTCTTGTTGAATTAAAACATATTTTCATTTCAATATTCTATTATGAATCTTTATATTTAAAAAAAAAGGATCCAAAAGATTTTCAATGCTGCTGATTTGATATTAATATTATTTGATGTTTTTTATCAGAAAATTGTTGATATCTTGAATTTTTGTAAAAAAAAAAAACTCATTGAATTTAGTATTTGTTATTAAAGTAGACATATTAAAGTATGGCATATTTTAATTTGGATATTCTAAAACAATCCTTTGTATTTTTATAAAATATTTTATTTGTACATGCCATTAATATTGCTCTTCAATATCTTTGAGGTAAAGTTCTTCCTTCAGAAAATTATTAATATTTTTATAAAAGAATCATCCATTTTAGTATTTGTTATTAAAGTAGACATTTTAAAGTATAACATATTCAAATTAAAACATTCTACAACAGTGCTTTTCATTTTAAAAGCCATCACTAATTTATATGTTATTTAATGTTTGATTTCCGTACAAATTGACTTTCCCTTGCCAATATATATATTTTTTTCTTTCAGTAATGGAGGAACCTCCTGACAAAAAACCCAAACTTTCTGCAACTCTGGCTGTATCCTCAATCCTGGCAGACGAATACACCAACTCACCGGCTCTTGTAGAAGTCCTAATTGGCCGAATAAATGACAAAAAACAAATATCTCGTTACATAAAAGACTTAAATGAAAAACTTCCTTTGACATCACTGCAGCATCTCAAAAGATGTCACAAACAGAAGATAGTTATCCAGAAATGTTCTGAGATGAATGATGTACCAGTGTTGAAGTATTTGAAGGATTTAGGAATTGATGTTAAGGACTTGGATGGTGTTTTTGAGAAAAGAAGAGTTCCTGCATCCAGTGTTAAGTTGAAATGGCAGTTTGATGAAATGAATCAAATCTGGCCTCTGAATTTTCATCCTGATAAAAACCTGGAACAAATGTACAACAACCAAATGTTTACTGACCAAGAGTTGCAAAGACACCAGGAGTATCTACAATTGGCTTTGAGGCTAAGCCAGGAAAACATTACCAAAATCCTGCAAGACAAATATATCACCACCAGTCCTCAATCCAAGGCAGCTCCAAGTATTTTCCAGAAGTACCAAAAAAATCCAGAAACTTGCCAGGAGTCTTTTACCAATCATGGTGCACTTGCAGTGGATCCTGCCATAGATTCCATAGTTGCTGTTGGTTATGATTTAAGGCAATTGCATCCTGCACAGCATTGTTGTCTGGTTCTGGTTGATAATGTTGCCAAGGGACAGAATGGAGGTGCTTGGAGTGATGGGATGTTTGAAACAGGTGAATAGATGATAATTGATTTATTTTCATTCTTGTTTGATATTTTATTGAAAAAGACCTGCATATCATAAAAATGCCAACTAAATTTCATGAAGTAAAACATCTTTAGACTTGTGTGCTCAAATATTACTACACGTTTCAATTTTTCTTTCAATAAAATTTAACATTATACTATTTATTCCAATAAAAATTTGGTAGTTATTTGATCATACATTTTTATTTACATAGTCATTTTTTTATACCTTAAAAGCAACAAAAGATACAACTAACAATAGTATTGTAATTTGAAGATAAACTTTTTTACACTTACTTTCAATATAAACTGAGTATAAGTGGCATTGTGTCCTAAGGTTTTTATATTTACTTAATTTATTAATCTGTTTTCTTTACAACTACATTTTGTCAAGATAAATTTAAATATGTCTAAATTTTGTGAAAAAACTTATCAATTTTAGTATTTGTTATCATAGTAGGCATATTAAAGTATAACATGTTAAATTTGCAGCTTTCTAAAATATACAAAACAATTTTAATATTTTTTTAAACCTTCATGCATGTTTTCAATGTCTCATACTACAATTTGATGCACTTTTACCACAAAATTATAAATATATTGTATTTTCTCAGAAAAGTTATCAGTTTTAGTATTTGTTATTATAGTACACATATTGAAGTATGATATATAAAAATTGCAACATTCTAGAGCTAAAACTGGTGAAAATATATTTTTTTAAAACTTTGTGTATTTACTTCGATAATTGAAGGTTTAAAAAAATATTAAATCGTTTCGATGCTTTTAGAAAGCTGCAAATTTAACATGTTATACTTCAAAATGTTTATTAGGATAATAAATACTAAAATTGATAAGTTCTTCACAAATATTACAGATATTTAAAATTTTAACAAAGATGTCCTAAATATCCTAGATTGAAAATAGATATCATCTCTTCTTACACTAGATTTGTAGTACTTTTGCCACAAAATTGTAAATATATTGAATATTTCATAGAAAAGTTATCAGTTTTAGTATTTGTTATTATTATAATACACATATTGAAGTATAATATAAAAATTGCAACGTTCCAGAGCTAAATTGGTAAAAATATAATATTTTTTGGAAACTTTGTTCCTTTAGTTTGATAAATCTATTTTCTATCTAAGATTTTTAGGTAAATTTAGTTAAAATTCAAATATTTGAAATATTTGTGAGAAAACTCATTGTGTTTAGTATTTGTAACTATAGTAGACATATTCAAGTATAGCATATTCAAATTACAGTATTCTGGAGCAAGTAGAACTATTTTAATATTTTTTTAAAATGTTGTTTTATTTTGAATAATCAATATTATATCTAGCATCTTTGTAGGAGAATATTTGTTATAATACTAAATATCTGAAATATTTTGAGAAACTTATTAATTTTAGTATTGGTAACTATAGCAGACATACTAAAGAATAATATACTTAAAAATTACAGTATCATATGATAAATAATTGGCATCTTCATTCTTTACTTTGATAAATCTATTTTCTAACTATAATCTCTAATAAAATTTGTTATAATTGTAAATATCTGTAATATTTGTGAGAAAACTCAACTTGTTTAGTATTTGTAATAACAGTAGACAGTATAACATATTAAAATTCTAGTATTCTGCAGCGAGTACAACTATTATAATACTTTTTTAAAGGATTGTAACTTTACATTTGTAAATCTATTTCACACCTAGGATTTTTAGGTACTTTTTGGTTATACTTAATACTAAATATCTGAAATATTTTTGAGAATACTTATCAAATTTAGTATTGGTAACTGTAGCAGACATACTAAAGTATAACATACTTAAATTACATAAGATATATTTATTTATTTATTTATTCAACGCCCAAGGCAATATAATTGGCATTTTTAACTATTCTTCTTTGTAATCTAATGATTAATGATTTTCAATTCAATTTCAATTTTCAATTTCAACAAGTCAATTTAAATGCAGTAAGTTTTAAATTGAATTGGGATTTGCAGTTTGATGACCATCCAGAAATGTGAAAGGCTAAATTGTGTTTAGATTTGGGCTTAGATATTTTTACACACCTTTACCCTACCAATTACTTACAAGTCCACCAGGACTTCTAGTCACTTAGTTATTGTTTATACTGAAAATTTCTAAAAATAATTCATATAGCAAAACTATTTTTTTCGAGTCGTATATATATATATAATATATATTTATTTTATTTTAGTATATATATAATATTTATTTATTTATTTATTTCAGATCCTACTGCTGATTTAAAGTCTGAATCAATTAAAGAAGACATGGACGATGACCTCAACACAAAAGGAGTGTCTGAGTGTTTTAAAAAATTAATATTAACTGATGACTACCAATTCAAAATTGGTTCTAAACCTGTTATTGCACCAAAACAAAACTCAGGTAAATATATGTTTATTAAATGTTTCCATTTTTTTCATTATTGAAGTGAAACTTGTAAAGCAAATTCCAACAAGGTGTTGAAATTGTTTTGAGAGTGCTGTAACTTGTCTGAGTGTTGTAGCTTGTTTGAGAGTGTCGTTGGGGTCCTGAGAGTATTGTAGATTGTTTGAAAGTGTTGTAGATGGTCCGAGATGAGAGTGTTGTAGATTACATAAGAGAGTTCTGTGTCTGGGAGGTTTGTAGATTGTGTGAGAGTGTTGTGGATTCCTTGATAGTATTGTCGATTATCTGAAAACATTGTAGATTGCCTGAGAGTGTTGTAGATGATTTGAGAGTGCTTTGGATGTTTTGAGAGTGTTGTAGATGATTTGTTGTTGTGTGTCTGAGAGTGTTTCAGATTGTCTGAGAGTATTATGGATTATATGAGAGTGTTGTTGAGTGCCTGAAATTGTTGTAGATTGTTTGAGAGTAATGTGAGTTGTTTAAGATAGATTGTCTGAGAGTGCTTTTGGGTATCTTAAAGTATTGCAAATTGTCTGACGGTGTTGTAAATTATCTGAGAGTATCGTTGGGTGTCTGAGAGTGTTGCAGATTGTCTGAAATTGTTGTAGGTTGTCTGAGAGTGTTGTGGATTGTCTGAAAGTATTTGTAAATGAACTCAACATTATTGTATATTTTCTGAGAGTAGATTGTTTGAGAGTATTGTTGATGCTCTGAAAGTATTGTTGCCTGTGAGATTATTTGACAGTGATGTTGTGTGTCTAAGTGTATCGTCAATTGTCTAAAAATTTGGTAGATTATCCCGTAGTGTTGGGTGTCTGAGTGCGTCGTAGCTTTCCTAAGAGTGTTATTAGATGTTTGGGAGTGTTTCAGTTTGTCTGAGAGTCTTGTTGTGTGTCTGAGTATGTTGTAGATTATCTGACGGGATAGTTGTGTGTCTGAGTGTGTTGCAGATTGTGTGAGAGGGTTGTAAATTGTATAGCAGTGTTGTAGATTATCTGAGAGTGTCATCGAGTGTCTGATAGTGTCGTTGGGTATCTGAGAGTCTTATGTTTTGTCTGAAAGTGTAGTAGGCTGTCTAAGATATTACCTGACAGTCATGTTGTGTTGATGAGTATGTTATAGATTACCTTACAATTAGATATAGCAGAATTTCTCAGAGTGTCGGATAGTGTTGTTGGATATGTAGAACATCGGTAGAACGTCTGAGAGTTTTGTGGATTATCTAAGACTATTGTATATTGTCTGAGTGTTGTATATTGTCTGAGAGTGTGGTGTATTGTCTACGATATTGTAGATTATCTGAGAGCGTTTTAGATTGTCCAAAAGTGTTGTTGGTTGTCTGAGATATTATCTGACAGTGATGTTGCGTGCCTCAGTGTGTTGTAGGTTATCAAACAGTGTTGTTGATTATCTCAGAGGGTTGTGAATTGTCTGAGAGTGTTGTGGATTGTCTGTGAGATTGTCTGGTGTTGATGTTGTGTTTGTGAGTCTGTTGTAGATGGTCTGAAAGTGTTGTAGATTATCTAAGAGTATGGTTGTGTGTCTGAGTGAGTTGTAGCTCTTTTAAGAGTGTTGTTGGGAGTCTGGGAGTGTTGTAAATTGTCTAAGAGTATTTTAGATTGTGTGACAGCGTTGCAAACTGTCTGAGAGTGTTGTAGATTATTTCAAAGTATCTAACAGTGTTGCAGATTATCTGAGAGTGTCATCGAGTGTCTGATAGTGTCATTTGGGTGTCTGTGAGTGCTAAGGTATGTCTGAGTGTTGTAGAGATGTGAGAGATTGCCTGACGGTCATATTGTGTGTGTGAATATGTTGTAGATTTCGTATGTTGCATATTTTTTAAGAGTGATTTTTATTGTCTGAGAGTGTTGTAGATGGTCTGAGCGTGCCCGAAAGTGTTGAAGGTGGTCTAAGAGATTATCTGACAATGATGTTATGTGCCTGAGTGTGTTGTAGATTATCTCAGAGTATTGTTGAGTGTCTGAGAGTGTTGTAGATTATTTGAGAGTGTTGTCAATTGTCTGAGAGTCTTGTGGATTGTCAGAAACTATTGTAGGTTTTCTGAGAGTATTGTAGATTAACTGTATATTATTTGAGAGTGTTGTAGGTTGTCTGAAGGTGGTATAGATTATCTTCGAGTATTGTTGAGTGTGTGAGAGTGTTGTGAATCATTTAAGAGTATTTAAGAATATATAATAGTTGCAGATTAACTCAGAGTGTTGTATATTGTAGGGTTGTCAGAATGTTGTAGGATTGTTTGAGAGTGTTGTGTGATTGTCTGAGAGTGTTGTAGATTATCCGGAAGTGTTGGAGGTTGTCTGAGAGATTATCTGATAGTGATCTTGTGTATCTGAGTGTGTTGTAGATTATTTAAGAGTGTTGTTGGGTTTTTGAGTGTTTTGTAGGTAGTCTGAAATTGTTGTAGTTTATCTGAGAATATTGCTGTGTGTCGAGTATGTCGTAGCTTATCTAAGAGTGTTGTTGGGTGTCTGAGTGTATTGTAGGATATCCAACAGTGTTGTAGATTATCTAAGGTGTTTGAGAGTGTTGTAGATTATCTGAGAGTGTCATTGGTTATCTAAGAGTATTGTAGGCTGTGTGAATGTGTTGTAGGCTGTTTGAGAGTATTGTAGATTACCTGATAATGTTGTTCTATATCTGAATGCGTTGCAGATTATCTGAGAGTGCTGTTGGGTGTCTGAAAATGTTGTAAATGGTCTGAAAGTGTTGTAGATTATTCGGAATATTGTTGTGTATTTGAGTGTATTGTAGATTATTTGAGAATGCTGTTGGGTATGCTATTGGGAAATGTTGTAGGTTGTCTAAAACATTGTCCTTTATCTAAAATTGTTATAGATTGGGCTTCATGTACTATAATGATAGTGAATTTACTTTTTATTTCAGATCAATCAACCAATTCAGAACAAAAATCAGGACCATACCTGTGTACAGGCTACGATGTTTATTTAACACACGAGCCTTGTTGTTTTTGTGCAATGGCTCTGACTCACAGTCGTGTTTCAAGAGTGTTTTATTTATTTGATAATTTAGAAAATGGTGCTTTGAGGAGTCGGATGAAACTACATACAGTTAAGGATTTGAATCATAGATTTGAGGCTTATAAATGTGATTTAAGGTAATATTTTTTATATAAATCTATATCTATTGTTTCTTTTCAGTTCTACAATTCTTTACTCTGTATTTCTTAAATAAATCTTTCACCAACTCTACTGTTTTCTCTTAAATTTAAGAATTCTAATTGATCGATATATATTCTTGAAAACATTATATATTGATATGTGGGATATTATTTCTTGTTATAATTGACTTCTGGCAATTGTTTAATATTTTCGAATTTATTTGCTCCCATGGACTCAAATGCTTCTAAATTAATAAAAAAAAATCTGTGAAAGATTTAACTCTTAATATTAACTTAAATATATTCCACATATTTATATTAATAGCTAAAACTTCTGAATTTGTTTTTTTGTGAGTTTGCAAGCATTTGAGCCCCTGGGATCAAAGAAAATGAAAGATAATGGGTGGTCCATCTAGTGGTCCTAGTGATCTAATGATTTTACGGTTTAGATATTTCTGTAAAGAAAAAAATTTAAAGTATTATACATCGTTAGAAACGTCTCAAATTATAGTTTCTTCCCATATATCGCAACTTCGATTCCGCACGTGTATTTATGTGGTATTTATCTTGGCTCGATGAGGGTATAGATGGCATAGCTGTTTTTGATTAAATGTTGTTCTATTGAAATTCTCATATATATTTTCTTATTGAAGTAAAAACTTTCTTACGCGTGACTAGGGTTACCGCCTAGAATATGAAACTAGCAATAGAAAATGGAAGTTAGTTACGCCTGATTTCCGTAAATGCTGATTTTCATTGGTCGTAACATCATTTTAAAAGAGTTGATGCGATTGGTTGTTTAATGTTTACATAGAAGGTATATTTTTTATGAAATTTTATTATTTGCAATAATAGTTCAGTCATTTAAGCTCAAGTTAGGTAAGAATCCGGGAATGCGAGATACCCAGCTGTAAGTCTGTAAAATACTTGTATATTGACCACCTAAAAGTTTCTCAAAACATGCATAGGGTACATACACCCTACCATATGTAGGTTTTGAGACAACTTTTGGGTGTATTTATAAAGTATTTACAGACTTACAGCTGGGTATCTCGAATTCCGATAATAAATAAAAAACCAATGAATGAACAGTCCGTCAACTGAACAGTCATGATAAAATTAAAACATCAAAGTTAATCAAATCATAAATATCATTAAGACCTCATTTTTAATAAGAAACTATAAGAAATTATTTATTACAATATTTATTAGTGCGTCTATGGAGCAAATTGTTCAATTATAAAAAAATAAACTCCCAACAAAAATACATGAATCACTAACAATTGTTAGTTAATTTACTACGAAAAACTAATCAGCACGTTTTCCCTTCAATAGGAATCGAATTTTTTTTGAATCATTCAAATCGGTTGATCCATGTTTCCCGAAACGTAGAATATCCGAAAATTCTTACATACATAAACACACACACACATCCAATTTTCTATAAAAGTTAAACTTAAAGATATAAAAGGAACACATTTTACAAATATACATTATCCATTTTAAATTTTACTGAATTGGTTCTTTTATCTGCTAAAGTATGTGCATATAGATGGCATCATCATTTAAGGAAGCTTTTGTAACTTTTGAAACTATGTACTAATATTGCCTAAGGCAAATTGCTGGAACTTCCCATACCTTTTTTTTAATCTTGAAAATAATTAAAGACTGAAATTATTAGATTTTTGAGAATTTTGAAATGTTTAAAAAAAATCGATTTTCTAGTTCCTCTCTCGTTTCTCGTTTTCTAGTTTAAAAAAGTAGATCGTCTACTAATATAAAAAAATACTAAAATCGATGAGTTTTTCTATAAATATTTGAAATATAACTAGTGGGGCGCATGGCATCGTGCCTTAAGGCAAATTGCTGAAACTTTCCTTAATTTTTTTTTTTTAAAAGATTAACTTTTTTGAAAAAATTTACTCTGAAAAAATTAGATTTTAAGAAACTATAATTTTTTTGACAAAAATTTACTTTTTTTTTGAAAAAAAGGACTTTTTGAAGAAAATGTATTTTGAAATATTTTGGAAATTCTGAACTTTTTTTCAAGCAATCGTACTGCTTTAACTGCATAGAGACGTAATATCGAAGCGCGTAAGCGCCGCGCCGCCGTCTAACGGATAAGCATTGGTACGGAACCCATAGGAATGTAAATAAAATTCATACTTATTGTTAAAATTTCTATAAAATATCTGAAAATTTTGATGTGCTTATGTCTAATGATCATTTTTGACGCCAGATGGCATTTTTTTAACTTTTTTACTAGATCTCCGAAACCCTGGACCTGCCTTCATGAAAATGGATCAGTTCTTCATCTTGTTAATACAAGTAAAATACTTTTTGAATTATTTAAATCGGAGACTCCGTTCTCTTAAAAACGGAGTTACGCGTTTTGGCACTTTTTGCCCCCATATCTTCGGAACGGCTAGACCTGTCTTCGCCAAAAACTAATCAGCACGTCTCCTTATCAATACGAATCGAATGTTTTAGAATTATTCAAATCGCTTCATCCGTGTTCCCGAAATCGTCGACGAAAATTTGTATCCGCACACACATACACACGCACACACGCACACACACACACATACATCCATTTTTTCTAAGGTATGCCAAAATATTCAGAAACCTCTGAAACGTAAAGATATATAAAATTATTCATTTTCGATTTTTTGCAATTACATAAACTTACCCTAGGGGAAGTTAAAAATATTGTAAATAAATGCGTTGAAATCATATATAATAAAAGGGATGAGTTAATAGAGTAAAGTTTAAATTTTTCAAAAAAATGTTTTGGTTGTTTTACAAAACTACAATTTTGATGTTTTATATTGTTGACGTTGAATATTGTAGAGAGTGTATTTAGAGACAATAAACGAGTGATTAGAGACGAACGAAGTTTATATACTACAACGACAAATACTAAAATCGATATGCTTGCTTTGAAATATTTGAGATATTTAAAGTTTTATGATAAAAATACCTCATATTGTCGATAAAATGAAAACTGCACAATTGAAGGACTAATTAAAATAATTCTGCCAATTCTAGAATTCTGTAATTTTGATATATTATACTTGATTATGGTTACTATGATGACATATACTAAAATCGATATGCTTTTTTACAAAAATTCGAAATATTACTTATTTATAATAAAAGTACCTCAAATCGTAGATTTAGATAAAAGACGAAGTTCAAAAGATAAAGATTTCGATAAAGAACGACCTTTGCAAAATTGTTAAAATAGTTTTGTTACTTTCAGAATGTTGTAATTTTAGTATGTTTATACTTTCATTGGTCTACTATGACGACAAATACTTCAAGCGACGTGTTTACTAAGAAATATTGAAGATTCTTACAAACATTCGAGATATTACCATGGTAAAATAGTTTATCTTATTTTCAGAATGTTGTAATTATAGTATATTATACTTTAATATGTCTACTATGACGACAAATACTAAAATCGATGTGCTTGCTCAGAAATATTTGAAATATTTTCAGTTTGATAATAAATGTACTTCAAGTCGTTTATCTCGATAAAGAACGACCTTTGAAAAATTGCTAAAATAGTTCTGTTACTTTCAGAATGTTGTAATTTTAGTATGTTATACTTTAATATGTCTACTATGACGACAAATACTAAAATAGATGTGCTTTCTAACAGACATTTGAAATATTTACTTATTTATAATAAATGTACTTCAAGTCGTAGATCCCGATGAAGAACGTCCTTTGAAAAATTACTTAAATAGTTCTGGTACTTTCAGAAAAATTGCTTAAATAGTTCTAGTACTTTCAGAACGTTGTAATTTTAGTATGTTATACTTTAATATGTCTACTATGACCGCAAATACTAAAATCGATGTGTTTACTAACAAATATTGTAGATATCTTCAATTTCATATCAAAAAAAACCTCAAGTAGTACCTATTACCTAGATACCTCGGTTATAACTCGTTCTTTTCCCAAATTGCTCAATTCTTTTCATTTCCATTCTTGCCTAAACCCTCAGTGTTCTTCTAGTTTTCTATTTTCATATTATTTTTTTTGCGACGTTGTTGCTACATCTGTCGAGTGATATATTTAACGCTTGAAACCATTAAAGTCAATTAACAAACTAATTAGATTACTCGTTTGTGATTTATTTGCAATTCGCAAAAGTGCGAATATGCGCTTTAAAAGATTTATTATATTTATTTTAATATATATAATATATATATATAATATATAATATATATATATATTATATATATATAATAAAGGTTTGACTAGTGCATTTTGCCTATTGGCAAGTTGCACAATGATAATTCAATCCAGAAATGTATAAAACTGTCGTGCAATTGCAAATATCTCGAATATTTGTTAGAAAACTTATCGATTTTAGTATTTGCTGTCATAGTAGACATATTAAAGTGCACCATATCCAAATTATAACATTCTACAACAGAAAAAAATAATTTTTAAAAAATTACAACTTTTTCACTTTAGTTTGAATATTTTTATCCAACAAAGTTGCTTTCGTGTACTTTTTTCGTATGATTATAAATATCTCGAATATTTGTTAGAAAACCTATCGATTTTAGTATTTGTTGTCAAAGTAGACATATTTAAGTACATCATATCCAAATCATTTTTAAAAAATTGAACATGATTCATCAAATTTCCTAATGTCTGTTTTTTTATAAAGAATTCTTATAATGTTTATTTACGTGTTCAGAGAACATGGTTTTGAATTGTTTGGGAAATTTTGAATAATATTCTTTATAAATATATTGGAAGCATTTTCCACCTTAACGTATCGATTTAATATTTGCTGTCATAATACATTGTATCTAAATTGTAACATTCTAAAACCAGCAAAAGTATTTCTTAAAATTACAACTTTTCCACTTTATTTTGAGTATTTAATCCAACAATCGTGTACTTTTTTGGTTAGATTAAAATTACCTCGAACATTTGTTAGAAAACGTATCGATTTTAGTATTTGTTGTCATAGTAGACATATTTAAGTATAACATACTAGAATTACAATATACTAAAAGGAGCAAAACTATTTTAAAAATTTTTTCAA